GGCCAGTCAAGCAAGTCAACTCACCTGTCAATGAAGTCAAGGGACACCCCGAAGCTACGAGCCATGGCGTCCGCTGTGACACTCTTGTAGCTCTCCAGGAACTGAGAGTATGCCACCACTCGCACCCCCCCTCCCCCTGTGACAGCTCCCACCACAGTCAACTACCAGACCATGAAGACAACTGGCCAGTCAAGCAAGTCAACTCACCTGTCAATGAAGTCAAGGGACACCCCGAAGCTACGAGCCATGGCGTCCGCTGTGACACTCTTGTAGCTCTCCAGGAACTGAGAGTATGCCACCACTCGCACCCCCCCTCCCCCTGTGACAGCTCCCACCACAGTCAACTACCAGACCATGAAGACAACTGGCCAGTCAAGCAAGTCAACTCACCTGTCAATGAAGTCAAGGGACACCCCGAAGCTACGAGCCATGGCGTCCGCTGTGACACTCTTGTAGCTCTCCAGGAACTGAGAGTATGCCACCACTCGCACCCCCCCTCCCCCTGTGACAGCTCCCACCACAGTCAACTACCAGACCATGAAGACAACTGGCCAGTCAAGCAAGTCAACTCACCTGTCAATGAAGTCAAGGGACACCCCGAAGCTACGAGCCATGGCGTCCGCTGTGACACTCTTGTAGCTCTCCAGGAACTGAGAGTATGCCACCACTCGCACCTCCCTCAGGATGAAGCGCATATGTGGATGCAGGTAGCGGTCTTGCCTTATGGGCTCGGTCAAACCGGCTGGGAGTGGAAGGGGGAAGTGGGGGAGATGGGGGAAAAAAAGGGAATATAAGCTTGCTCTCTTTACAGATGAAACGCATGTGCGGATGCAGGTAGCGGTCTTGCCTTATGGGCTCAATTAGGCCAGCTGAAAGGGACATACGGGGGGTGAGAAAGTAAGGGGAGAAAGAGTGTCTTCCCTCAGGATGAAGCCCATGTGGGGTTGCAGGTAGCGGTCCTGCCTTATGGGCTCCGTTAGGCCAGCTGGGGGGGGACGGGAGGAGTGGTGGAAGGGTGGAAACAGCGGGTGTAAGGGTCTTTCCCTCAAGGTGAAGCGCATGTGTGCGTACAGGTAGCGGTCCTGCCTTATGGGCTCGGTCAGGCCAGCTGGGAAGGGGAACAGAGGGGAAAAAAGGAAGGTGTAGGAGTGTCTTCCCTCAGGATGAAGCCCATGTGGGGTTGCAGGTAGCGGTCCTGCCTTATGGGCTCCATCAGCCCGGCTGGGAGGAAGGAGGTGTAGGAGGAAAAGAGGCGGGGAGGGGAGAAGAAAGAGGGGTGTACGGGTCTTTCGGAGAGATGAAGCGCATGTGTAGCGGTCATTGAGGTGTGTTTTGATGCGCCGCAAAACACACCTGGATGCAGATAGCGGTCCTGCCTTATGGGCTCTGTTAGGCCAGCTGGAAACAGAACAGAGGAAGAGAAGGAAACAAAAGGGTCCATGAGTCTCTCCCTCCGAGTGAAGCGCATGTGGGGATGCAGATAGCGGTCCTGCCTTATGGGCTCTGTTAGGCCAGCTGGAAGGGGAGGGGGTGGTGGTGGGGACTACCGGTAGTCGCATTCATGAAGGTTGTTGAGGAAAGGCCCGAGGTGGGGGAAAGTTTCAGGCTTACACGTACAAGGTCACACAGACACACACACCCGCACACACCCGCACACACCCGCACACACTTGCACACTCCCGCAGAACCATGACTTGCAGTCAAATACAGGTTGTAGAGGAAGGGAGTGTCAGAGGTGGGGGAAAGTTTCAGGCTTACACGTACAAGGTCACACAGAGGAAGGGAGTGTCAGAGGTCTACTAGTTAGAGACACCACACAGCCACCTCCAATCAGAGACTCACAGAATGCGCGGAAGAATGCCTTGTGGTCGCATGCATGCAGGTTGTTGAGGAAGGGAGTGTGAGAGGTCTACTAGTTAGGGACACCACACAGCCACCTTCACACCCACCCTCCCTCTGACCCGCCCGCCCTCATGCACGCACACACACCCACCACCAATCAGAGACTCACAGAATGCGCGGAAGAAGGCTTTGTAGTCACATGCATGCAGGCTGTTGACAAAGGGCCCCAGGTGGGGAATCTGATCGATTACTGTTAGGATCTCCGGGGCGTCTATGACCTGGTGTGACCGGTGTGGGGGGGAGAGGGCAGGAAGGTGGTCGATGGGGGAAGGGGGAGAAGAGCAACACACACTGAACGAAGGGCCCGAGGTGGGGAATCTGATCGATGAACTGTTAGAATCTCCGGGGCGTCTATGACCTGTCGAGAGGGGGACGGGGTTTGAGAAAGGCCGAAAAGGGGCGTTGATGATCTCGTGATTACATGAAGGTGGATGGGAGGGAGAGAGGTGGGGGAATTGATACTGGTCCGCTATCACAAAGCATTGAAACCCAGACACATTCTGCGTGAGAACCACGCACCTTCTGTTCCACAGCCACCCGGTCAAGCGCCACCACGCTCAAAATGACAGTGTAGAAGACCAGCGAGCGATACGGCAGC